TAATTAGAAGCACGTACTTCTGAGGAGGGACAGGGTCAAAAGGAAGAATAGAATAAATGGGGGGTGGGATAGGATTAAGGGAAATAGAGTCAGTTTTTCACAGTATGTCTACTATGGAAGTGTTTTGCATAACTGCACATATATAACCTATATTTAGTTGCTTGCCTTATCAATGAGGGTGGGTGGGGAGGGAGGAAGGGAGAAAATTTGAAACCCAAAGTTTTAAAAACACATGTTTAAAAAAATGTTTTCACATGGAACTGGGAAATAAGAAATACAGGAAATGGGGTACAGAAATCCATCCTGCCCTACAGGAAAATTGAAGTGGAGGGGGATAAGAGAAGGAGGGGAGATATAGAAGGGAAAGCAGACTAGGGGAAGGAGTATTCAGAATGCATGCCATCTTGGGGTGGGGAGAGGGGTGAGATGGGGATGAAAATTTGGAACTTAAAATCTTGTGGAAGTAAATGTTGAAAACAAAAAAAATAAATAAAAATTACCATTAAAAAACAAAACAAAGCAAGGCAAAGCAAAACAAAACAAAAAAATTATCAAGGAAAACTGCCCTGATATTTTAGAACCAGAGGGCAAAATAGAAATTGGAAGAATCCACTGATCAACTCCTGAAAGAGATCCCTAAAGGAAAACTAGAAATATTGTAGCCAAATTCCAGAGTTCCCAGGTCAAGGAGAAACTAATGTAAGCAGCCAGAAAGAAACAATTCAAGTATTGTGGAAACACAATCAGGATAACACAAGATTTAGCAGCTTCCACCTTAAGGGACTGGAGGGCTTGGAATATAATAGTCCAGATGGCAAAGGAGATGGGATTACAACCAAGAATCACCTTCCATGGAAAACTCAATGTAATGCTTCTGGGGAAAAATTAGACATTCAGTAAAATAAAGGACTTTAAAGTATTCTTGATGAAAACACCAGAGCTGCATAGAAGATATGACTTTCAGATACAACACTCAAGTGGAACATGAAGAGGTAAACAGGAAAGAGAAATCATAAGAGACTTATTAAGGTTGAACTGTTTACATTCTGCATCAAAAGATATTTGTAACTCATGAGTCCTTTGTCAGTATTAGAGTAGTCAGAGGGAAAAATATTATATGTATGTATGTATGTATACACACATATAGACATAGATAGATAGATAGATAGATAGATAGATAGAGGGCACAGGGTGAATTGAACATGAAGGGGTGATATCTGAAGAATAAAATCAAGGGGTGAGAGAGGATTACACTAGGAGAAGAATAAAGGGAGAAGTAGAATGGAGTATATTATCTCACATAAAATATACAAGAAAAGGCTTTTACAATGGAGGGGAAATGGGGTTAGGTGAGAGGGAATGAGTGAATCTTATTCTCATTGGATTTGGCTTAAGGAGGGAATAACATACACACTCAATTGGGTATGGAAATCTATCTTTCCATACAGGAAAATGGGGGTGGAGAAGGGGACAAGAGAGCAGGAGGATGATAGAGGGGAAGGCAGATTGGTGGAGGGGGTAATTAGAAGCAAACACTTGTAAGGAGGGACAGGGTCAAAAGAAAGAATAGAATAAATAGGGGAGGGATAGGATTAAGAGAAATATACTTAGTTTTTCATAACATAATATAGAAGTGTTTTGCATGACTATGTATGTATAATCTGTATGGAGCTGCTTCTTCTCAGTGAGTGTGCATAGGGAGGGAGGAAGGGAGAAAATTCAGAACCCAATGTTCCAAAAATAAAAGTTAAAAAAATTGCTTTCACATTCAACTGGGAAATATGATATACAGGTTATGGGGTATAGAAATCTATCCTTCCATACAGGAAACTTGAAAGGGAAGAGAATAAGATAAGTGGGCAGTGAGATATGGGAGGGAGGGCAGATTAGGGGAAGGGGTATTCAGAATGCATGACATCTTGTTGTGGAGGAGGGATGAGATGGGGAGAAAATTTGGAAATCAAAATCTTGTGAAAATGAATGTTGAAAATTAAAAATGAATTAATTAATTAAGAAAAGGAAAATAATATTCCTAAAGCATAGGTGAAGCAATAGTATTACCCTTCTCAAAACATCCAATGACTCTATATTTCCTTGGGAATAGAATACTAACTTGGGACTTCCAATCTACCTCCAGTTTCTTTCCAGTATTCATTTATATTACATTTCTTTACACATTCCTTATTCAAATGAACCTAGTCTACTTGATATTCCCTAAATTGGGCATTATGTCTTCTAATTGTGCACCTGTGCATAGGCTACTCAAAAACTCTTCAACACATATTTGAACAATACTATAACTATCTCGTATTCTGAGAGGTGAGCTTTCCTGTTGTTTTTCCCCAGATCCAGAATTTA